TTTACGTGCTTGTATGTATTAACCAATCGAAGACACTGTTGCAGTGACATATGCCATTCACAGAAAACTCAAATGTTACATGCATATTCGTGTAATTAGATTTGTCTTCTCGGTATTTAAATGCATCGAGGTGTATCATGGATTCGAACTATTCTACATATGTATGTAAGCTGGGTGCAATTTTCATTCACTTATCCATGACACAACGGAAGCGCTGTTATATCGATATAGAAAGATTGTGGAATAGGGAAGAAAATTATAGAGGATATTGCAATAATTTCTGACTTTTTTCTTTAAATAATTTTATATTCAAAAAGTTGGCAGAATTCTTTTGTTAAAAAAAAGATATTAATATTATTCAAATTGAATTAATGTTTTATGCGATGATTTAATTAATATGGAATATAATATATTTAAAAATCTTTTCAATTAAATTAATTAAAGTCTTCCGGAATTTCTAAATAGATTTGAAGCGTATAAAACGTCAAGTTTGAAAATCTCATGTTCTTATTATAACTGTATAAGTTATTAATTTTTAATTATTTACGTTAAATTTTCTAAATAATGCTTGAATTTTGAAACACCTTGTATACACCTTAACTGAATAGCTGACAGGGAGAAGGGGCGAAGGTCAAACCGTAGACTCCAAGGCGTGTAGAGGGAGGAGACCGCGAGAAAGCATCTTCCCATGAATGAACGAATCAATCAACGAACAAACGAAGGACGGTCTGAACGGTACAGACAGTCATCAGGACAATGATACCAACTATTAATGACTACACCAGTAAATACAAAGATAAATTGCGTACATTACATGTCATTTTAATACGAAATTTATAAGAAAAATAGAAAATTATCACAATATATTATCATTTATAAACTACAATTTATAAATTACGGACTGACTTCTCGCCATTGATTAAAGTAAAAAATAATTTAATAAAACCTAAATGGGAATAACACATGCAAATATAAATACGTTTTTTTCTTAATTGATAAAATTAAAAAATGATTAAATAAAGAATGAATTGGAATAATTTTAACGAAGCTATCAAATAATTAAATAAAAGCCAATCGAGAACAACAAAAGGATTCGATAAAAGTAATGAATCGAATGTAATATGTAGATTTCATTTGAAATTGCAGTATTTGATGCTTATAAAATTTTCCTCGACGTATGTATGTCCTCTCGATCCTTAATTTCTCACTGTTCACCATGAACACCTATTAATAGAAACTGTGTTTTACACTTGTTCCACGGTCCTAGTACATGAATGATGTCAATCGCACAGAATCATGCTTTCTTATAAAACTTTATGTAAGCTGTAAGCACAATCGAAGTGATCGCTGTCGGCCTTTCCGATTGTGTACAGAACACAGTAGCATTATTTCGATACAATGTACCTTGAACACGAACGGGAAGAAAACGATGTAAATAATAACAAAAGGGGGCATGGCAGGAATGATAGAGGAGACGAGGTAGTAGAGACAAAAGAAAGGAACAAGAAGTGTAGGTAAGGTGAAGAAAGAGAAACAGAGGAAGAGTGAGTGAAGGAGCGAGAGAAAGCACCGGAAGAGGGTAGGTAAGAAAAAGAGAGGTGACTGCTAGAAGAGGGAAGGCGGATAGAACAGGAAAAGAAAGCTAAACAGATTTGTAGATCGAGTCACAGCTGGGATGTACCTGTTCCTCGAAACGTGTGATCAGCAAATTCGCCCATTCTTCCGGCTTTTGCGTGCCCATCGCCGTCCGAGGTTCAGTGACGAGCCGTCATCACGTACGACGATTCACCAATTCGCTACGAACATTCGACATCGGTATGTCGCCATTTACGAACGTCGACTGCCAGCCGAGAGAGCGCCGCAACCGCAACGGCTCGTTCTTTCTCTCCCGTTGGGGAGGGGCGCTGTGACAGAGCCCTCAAGAATTACAGCGGGGTCTGAGGCGAAGATCCTCAATAGGTAGAACCGATACCGACCGAAGCTACTCGATATTTACATACACCAGATTTTCTGTCCATGGTTCTGAATTACCGTCTCCATAGAAAATGCCACGATGCGATCACAGACGAGGTATAGAATAGATTACTCATGCAATGTATTTTCATGGCCCGAATTCCTGAGGCTCTAGAGCCCCATTACCATTTCTATGCCGTGCTCATCGTTACCGATAGTCCACGAATTTAGGCACGTTAACAAGAAGCGAATATCCTATATATTTCATTTCTACTACGAGTGCTGAATATTATATGGAAGCAAGTGTATTAGGCGCGAACTTTTAAATGGCGGAAATAGTTTTTATGAAACATACTTCAGAAAAATATAATATAAAGTGTAATTTTTTCTATAAATAGTTGAGTTATTATTTCTAATAATTATGTAATTAGAGATGATATATAGGAGTAGTTTTATACATGTTTTCTTAAAGACAAGTATTTACAACGTTCATAAATCTACAGACTTTACAGTGACAGTATTCTTTCTAGAACTTGACGAATATAACAGTTAAAGATATTTTATGTTTGATATTTGTTTTTATGTATCTTTCATTTTGTAATATAGTCTTCCGAATAATGATAGAAACATTGACATGTTACATAATATAGTATTATTTATTATAGAAAACATATATATTCAGTTTGCATTGGTATTTTATTAACTTTTATTTACATTATATTAACGTGAATTTTTGTGGCTTCCAAATCATAAAACGTGCCGCAATACAAACATGGTATACGAAATACTCGATCCTCACTAAGAAGTTTAAAGTTCTAAAACATCGGTAACGATGAGCAGGCATATAAATAGTAATAGGGATTCTGAAGCGACAAAATAATTTTCTAGGTAACAAAACAATACATTTTTGCTTCTAATTATGTATTAAACATGAAATCATTTTTTAATGTGTACTTTTTGTAACGAATAAAATTTTACCTGCTGTATCACATTTATTATACCAAATCACTGTGTTAAGTAAAAGTTAATAATTCAATTAGTTATTAAGGGGAATAGTATATTTGTATTGCATATGCACATATAAAAATTCATGGTATATTTTGAAACAGAAAATTAATTTCATTTACATTACATCACAGTGACTGATAATGTTAAATCAATTATCTATGTATAAATGCGTGTAACTAATTACATATAGACTACACATCATGCTTATACAATAATATCTTTAAATAAAACATTCCTTAAACATATTTTTGAATATAAAATTCATCTTACCAAATACATGTAAGTTTCATGCCATTTATCACATTAAATACAACCTGTCTCTTATACACATCTAGATGTGTATAAGAGACAGGAATTTACGTGCTTGTATGTATTAACCAATCGAAGACACTGTTGCAGCTGTCTCTTATACACATCTAGATGTGTATAAGAGACAGGAATTTACGTGCTTGTATGTATTAACCAATCGAAGACACTGTTGCAGCTGTCTCTTATACACATCTAGATGTGTATAAGAGACAGGAATTTACGTGCTTGTATGTATTAACCAATCGAAGACACTGTTGCAGCTGTCTCTTATACACATCTAGATGTGTATAAGAGACAGGAATTTACGTGCTTGTATGTATTAACCAATCGAAGACACTGTTGCAGCTGTCTCTTATACACATCTAGATGTGTATAAGAGACAGGAATTTACGTGCTTGTATGTATTAACCAATCGAAGACACTGTTGCAGCTGTCTCTTATACACATCTAGATGTGTATAAGAGACAGGAATTTACGTGCTTGTATGTATTAACCAATCGAAGACACTGTTGCAGCTGTCTCTTATACACATCTAGATGTGTATAAGAGACAGGAATTTACGTGCTTGTATGTATTAACCAATCGAAGACACTGTTGCAGCTGTCTCTTATACACATCTAGATGTGTATAAGAGACAGGAATTTACGTGCTTGTATGTATTAACCAATCGAAGACACTGTTGCAGCTGTCTCTTATACACATCTAGATGTGTATAAGAGACAGGAATTTACGTGCTTGTATGTATTAACCAATCGAAGACACTGTTGCAGCTGTCTCTTATACACATCTAGATGTGTATAAGAGACAGGAATTTACGTGCTTGTATGTATTAACCAATCGAAGACACTGTTGCAGCTGTCTCTTATACACATCTAGATGTGTATAAGAGACAGGAATTTACGTGCTTGTATGTATTAACCAATCGAAGACACTGTTGCAGCTGTCTCTTATACACATCTAGATGTGTATAAGAGACAGGAATTTACGTGCTTGTATGTATTAACCAATCGAAGACACTGTTGCAGCTGTCTCTTATACACATCTAGATGTGTATAAGAGACAGGAATTTACGTGCTTGTATGTATTAACCAATCGAAGACACTGTTGCAGCTGTCTCTTATACACATCTAGATGTGTATAAGAGACAGGAATTTACGTGCTTGTATGTATTAACCAATCGAAGACACTGTTGCAGCTGTCTCTTATACACATCTAGATGTGTATAAGAGACAGGAATTTACGTGCTTGTATGTATTAACCAATCGAAGACACTGTTGCAGCTGTCTCTTATACACATCTAGATGTGTATAAGAGACAGGAATTTACGTGCTTGTATGTATTAACCAATCGAAGACACTGTTGCAGCTGTCTCTTATACACATCTAGATGTGTATAAGAGACAGGAATTTACGTGCTTGTATGTATTAACCAATCGAAGACACTGTTGCAGCTGTCTCTTATACACATCTAGATGTGTATAAGAGACAGGAATTTACGTGCTTGTATGTATTAACCAATCGAAGACACTGTTGCAGCTGTCTCTTATACACATCTAGATGTGTATAAGAGACAGGAATTTACGTGCTTGTATGTATTAACCAATCGAAGACACTGTTGCAGCTGTCTCTTATACACATCTAGATGTGTATAAGAGACAGGTTACGATACAAGCAAAGGGATATTACAGTCACAATTAATTTGACACAAACATTATTTTTATTTACTTATTAATATCAAATTAAATTGTTCTTTTATTTTTATTCATATCTGATAACTAAAGAAAGAGAACATCTTATTAATATACAAGGTGTCCTAAAATTATGGTACTTCCGGAAAATGAGAGGCTTCCTGAGGTTATTTTAAGTAACTTTTCCCTTAGTACAAATGCAATTCGCCATTCTGTTTACGAGTTATTAACGAAAAACAGTGACCAATGTGAGAGGCGAGATCAGCTGCCGCGAGCCGATCCAGCTAAATGAGTGGAACTGGGCTCGTTAGCTCGACCACCTTGTGCTAACCGAACTGGCCTCTCATTGGTCAGTGTTTTTCATTATAACTCGTAAGCGAAACCGTAGATTGTATTTTCGCTAAGGAAAAAGTTGCTTCAAATAACCTCAGGAACCCCCCATTTTTCGGAAGTACCATAATTTTGGGACACCCTGTATATTATTGGACAAAATCATATTAATTTCCCCACAAGTTGTGATCACTTATTTTTCGAAGCAGTTATTTATATATTATTAGAATAATGTTACACAGCATTATTCCCGGTAATATCTCCATCGTGTGATAATTACTATATCTGTAGTATCACAATAAAATTGCAACAAATAAGTGATCCGCATATAGAGTATGATGTTACAAATACACAAATTGATAAGAAAATATAAATGAATAATTTTATAAATAAGTAAAAAGTTTTTAAATCATTAACTTTTAGGTAACAGTTTAATCTAACTATGCTTTTAGCATAGCATATTAAAGGTGTGCTTTTAAAAAATTTGTTTAATAAGAAGAATATTTTTTATATACATAAAGTAATGGAAGATAAGGTTTCAGCTAGTTCCTTTTAATAGAACGTTGTATTCTTTATTTGGCCTATTGTAGTGCATTTTTAGATGAATTTAACAAAGTTACACA